TGGTAGTGGTCGGGGACCGGCGTGACGTACCTCAGGTGGGTGGACGGGAGACCCCTGGGTCGACGGGTAACGGAGGAGCGCTTCTTCTCGCTCGTCGCTTGCTGTACATAATGCCTATGAAAACATGCATAATCAATGCTGGAAAGGTGAATGGTTTTACCCCAAAGACTGACGTGCAGGGATAATTTTTGGACAAGCAATGCTGTCATTCGAGTCAGTCAACCGGCGGAGACATCCCCAGACTACTTTCTATACCTGACACTACAGAACGGAGATGAGAAACGGAAATAGGAAGCTTGGAGGATGATCACCTTGTCTGAACCAGGAAGCCTGTTGCATTTGACCTTCCGAGCCCTTGAGCACCGTCAGGGAGGTAGATAAATAGCCGGGCGGGAGGAGGGGGCAAACCTGCAGGCATCGCAGGCAGTATTCTGCTTCCGGGGAGGTGGGAGGGTTTTCGCCAGCTCATGTATCTGATTTTGCATCGACGGGGTAGGGAGAATAAGACCTGAGTGACATATGCCGATGAGTAAGGAGGTAACGAGGGAGTCGACAAGGAGATGAACAAGAACCTGGTTGGGAAACAGAGCTCAGATTTTCGGCAGACGGGGAGAGGGAGTCTTGATGCATGTGCATAGTAAGAACAAGGAACGAGGGGGAAGGGGAAAGGACTTTGAATCGGCGTGAATTAACTTTGATACTTATGTATATGAGTTATCGACCTCATTTCGGAAAATCTACCAATAGGGCCAAGTAAAACGATCAATTATGTAATTAAAAGGGTCCTCTACCCATCCCCTCGGTCCCGAAATTTTTCACTCAAACACCAACTCCACAACCATGGTCAAAGTCGAAATAGTCGAGGACAAGGACGCTGGTGCCTCCCCATATGCATCCTCAGATTCTTCCCGCACATCTTCCTCAGTCTCGTTGTCATCCGTCGAGTCTGATATCTCCGTCGACGAAACCTTCTTCGACCGTGTAGCCGCCCTCGTGGATATTGTCCCTCCAACAACACGACATTCAATATCCTCACGTATTTCCAAGACCACATCATTTATAAAACGTGGTGGAAAAATTGCAGGGAATATTGTGTGGATAGTCACAACCTCCGCGCTCTTGGTTGCTCTTCCCTTGGCACTGAGCCTGGAAGACGAAGCCAAAATAGTTGCACAGGAAAAGGAAATGCTTGAGCAACAACAGGGTGCACAGCAGGTTGGTGCTTTCTCTCACCACCCGGCTGCAATTGTCTAACTATTGTCCAAGATGCTTGCGCCTTCTATGTATCCCTCACCACCGGCTCAAATCCCCAACAACCAAAAGGCCTTGTACCGCCAGGTTCTAACCCATGCTGCCATTACAGCCACTCACCCGTCGTTTATACTTTCATTACTTCATTATTTTAGATACTTGACATGAACGATATCCACAATCCATGTGCACGGCCGTGTGGAAACCAACGTAATAGCTTGGATTATATGACGTGCTCCTCAGGCAACATCTGGTATCTTCAAACGTGAGAGCGAAATAATAACTGTTCTCGGGTCTATTTTATTATTCAGCTCCTACACCAACTACAACGAGACTACTATTCCAGAGCCTATCGTAGGAATTCAACCATGTGCCCTGTTATGACTCCAAAGCACTCACCGGTGATGGAGAGGTGGGACGAGAAGGGAAAACAATTGGGCGCACGAAGTTTTCCCTGTAATTCCCCGCCAAATTCAGAAAGAGATTGAACAATTACCAAGGGTTACGCACGCAGAACGGTACCGGCGAAGATAGGTGATGGCATGTTGTTCCACCTCCGCAGGTTTCAAGCCCACAGTCTCCCAGTCTCCGGGGACATCGGCGTCATCGATATATCGTCTAATAACTTCATCGGGGCTCAGTGTAGGCCACCAAACGGTCTGTGCTACCTTAGCCAAAGCCGAAGCGATTGGCTGCGGTACAACAGGGGCACGGGATGGAGGTTGTAAAGTAACCGAGGAAACCAAATCAAGGAGATACTCATAGGTCAGTATTGACGGCCCCGGCAATGAAAGGGTACCAGCGATGCGAGGCACAGCCATCAGATTGGCTAGGGCTTGTGCCACATCCATCACCTCATCCAGAGAAATCAGTCACAAGCGGGGCGATGAATTCGTGAGAAACCTACATGGACGGTCGGATTTTCGTTTGACCATGGTTAAGCTTCCACCAAATGGGCCAAACTGTAGGGCGGTGAGAATATTACTACACAGCGGAGGTATTATCTTACCAGCTATGTTGGTGAGGAGCTTATCCTCATAACCAAACATGCTCCCAGGCTTAACAATAGTGGCGAAGGGAATGCGTTTTTCACGCGTTCTTCGCCCTCAGCCTTGGTCTTGTAAAATTTGGATTTCGAGGTAGTTGATGCATTCAAATGAGACACGTGGACGAGACGTGAGACACCATTCTCCGCAGCAATCTTGGCAATCCTCTCAGCCCCAGCGACGTGAACTGAGGTGTAATCGAAATTCCTAATTCCGTGTGAGGTTTGACGACATAGAAGCACTGGAATCTACTCGACTTGGTCTCAAAATCACGCCCGACAAGGTTGTATACGATATCAGAATGGCGAACACATTCGGCTATCTGGTTTTCATTCCGAATGTCCCATTCCTTGTCCATCTCAATTCAGCGCCGGATATAAAACATTGTAGCCAAAAGAACATACCATTGGAACCACCTGACCTAAATCACCCATAGGCTTTAGATGCCGCGCCTCATCCTCGTCACGATAGGGTACTATCACCTGCGTTCCCAATTTTGCTGTTGACCAAACCCAACCGTTAGGAATGGGTCGACTTAGATTTAATACAAAAACCCACCAAGTTTCGACACGAGATACCTCCCTAAGAATCCTGTGCACCCAAAGACTGTCACAACATGTCCAGATACTGCGCTATATCCGGGTGGACCAGACGAGACGATGGGCTTTTGAGATGGAAGGGTGACGAGGTCATGGTAGGCTCGCTTGAACAATGCATTATTGAGTACAGAATAAATAACTAGTCAGCCAAGATGAGATTTACCTGAACGGGCGTTTGGAGACTGCGATGCAAACGCAGAAGGTTGGTGGGAGGAATCATCCCGCTCAAGAGCAGTCCCCAATTGTACGGAGGAGGTTTGTAAATTGTGGTATTGACAAGGCTCGGCGAATGGCGGGAAGCCAAATACAGTGTGGGAATATACTACCTGTTTAGTGCCTACGCCTTTCAATCAATCTTCAACTTGGGCTGATTCACGGTTGTGCATTTACACTCAACCTGATTCCGAGCTTGACAAGACCCCCAGACACACAAAATATTCAAACGAATATCGTCCATATAAAATCCAACGATGGTACAAGGGAAAACGAAAGGGCTTCAAAACAAGACGGCGTCGTCGAGGCATGCAGCTAAGGCGGCGGCCAACATGAAGAAGGGGAAAAAATACATTGCTCCCAAGAAGCCCGTCCTCTTGAAACAAACTGCCATGCATAAAGTTTGTATTTCAATTTCCGGTTCTTCCAAGATGAGATAAACGGGAATCTCCAAAGGATTTGACTGCAAAAATTAACAAGTCCATCGAGCAACAGATGGTCGCGGCTGCATCTTCGGGAAAACTCACTATCATGAAAAATCCGGCTGAATCGTGGGTTTAATTTTTACCTCCAAGGCGGGAAGTACTGAGCATAATCATATCAGATCGTCCGCCTCTTCAAAGGGCAAAGCCCGGAAAACATGAAAACTTTCGAAAAAGGTAAGAGTCATACAAAGATCTCCATCACAGCTCGTTTTTGATGAGCCTCGTTTTTCCGTGGCACAAACAGGTCATCATCAAATCAGCAGAGAGGCGCCCAGCATAAATCGGGGGGCATCTTCTCCCTAACTACACTATCAAGGAAGGGTGCGTGAAACGTGTGGTTTGATTTCATGGCGGGAGTTATACACCCCCGTGGGCCTCATGTATCCGCTTGTTGCGGCTAGTATGCAAATGGGCTCTGGCGGCCGTGGTTTTTGTTGAATCAGGCATCGTCCCAAATCATCAACTTATGAACACCGTCTACCCGCACCGTCCACCCCGTAAGTGAGGGCTGGGGAGATCATCGTTTCATCTTAAATTACACCCTGGCCTACCGCTGTGTAAGCAAGGTGTGCTGCGGATTAAATTACTATAGCGAACAATAACCACGCTATCCCCGACCTGGAGAATGAGACAGACTAGGCTCTTGCACGGTGGGTCTAACTCTTGGTTTCACATACCCCGTCTCGCTTTTACAGTTGGAACTGTGCAAATCCACCGGTTCCCCAACATTGCGAGCGGAAGTAATTACCAACTCTAGAGTGTACCCCTTGAGGCCGTAACTTGGACAGGGTATCTTGTGGCGCGATCAATTGGTTTGTAAGTCTGTTTAGGGCGGCTATCTCTGGGGCTGTATCCCGGGCCGAGCCTCCAATGGTCAGATATTCAGGACATAGGCTTATTGAGTATAGCATTTTTTTCTAACCAACGGGGAGATGAAATTACACTCCCATCCGACGTCAGAGGAATGTATCCTGGACGCCACCAACCGTACGTTTACATGCCAATTACCCACTCCCATGAGATTTTAACAATTATCGACACCTGCCCCACGTCATTATCCATGCCGAAATATATCGACTAGTAACGGGACATTGTCGGAGTTCATAAATCTCCATGGGCTTGTGCGTGGAGGCATGAGCAATTTCATCGAAGTAAATGAAATATGTACTGGTCTGATTCAAATGAAATCTTGTTTTTGGCCGTAAGAACGGTGTTATTTACACATACCGGCCATGTGCTGTTTCACACGGATAGAAATTAGTATTGCATACTCCCGTAAGAAAAAGATTCCAGCATTTACATGTTACATCGTTAAACTTATACTGATGATATTTTGTGATTTGTGAGTGCATTGCAATTTGATAATGGTCAATTATATTCTTTGGTTTAAACTCGTGTTCATGTATGGCCGCCTGGCGAAATGGCATCGCGTCTGACTACGATCCATCTATGGTGTGGTATCAGGAGATTGCAGGTTCGACCCCTGCGGTGGTCATTTACTTTTTGATCTTATCTTACCTCTTATTTTATCATCTCACCTTGAAACATCACCCTTTTCAATAACATCACCTGGCATAGACTCGGCTTATTACATGCCTCGGCGGAAGGCAACAAAAAGTCGCGGGAGCAGCAAACCACGCCCTACGAACCGCGATGATGCAAGGTTGAAGAAATGGAATAAGTTATCTGATATACCACTCGATGAAGAGGATCAATGTGAGTTTATACAGATACAAGATACTCTATTTATTCAACCTGGGCAGTTCATGCTTCAAGGGACAAAATTCTCCTCGAGGGCGAGCGCGGACTTAATAGCGAAGAGGATGGGGACGAAGATGAGGTATTTGGTTTAAAGGGAATAGAAGGACCCAGTTCGGATGCGGGGGATGAAGATGATGAGGGTGAGGACGACGGGGTTGAAGAGTTTGGGGGCACTCCGCTCCAGAAAAAGCAGAAGAAGCAAGGCAAAGACAAGGCGAAAAAAACCAAGGGTCTCTCAGATTCTGAGGGATCGGAGGAGGAGACATGGGGTCGCACCAATTCAGCATATTATTCGTCAAATGCTGCTCAGCTTGAATCCGACGATGAAGAAGGGAACGACTTGGAGGAACAAGAGGCGAAACGGATACAAAACAAGCTACGAGATGGAATGTCAGATGATGACTTTGGGTTGAATGACATTATAGATATCAGTGGGGATGATGGCGAGTGCGTAAGGGAAATATCAATACAGGCCAATATACTCATTGGCTCCACCCTTCTAGTGAGCAGCCTTTGGTGCCTCCTATTGCCCCAGCTCTGCCAAAAGACCCAAAGCTCCTCCTCCGTCATTTGGAAAAGGATAGCCCAGAGACCCTCGCTTTGGCGCGGGACTGGGAGGATACTGCCAATAACTTAGCCCGGACACGGGAGAAAATTAGCCAGTTAGTCGATTCTTCTTTCAGCGAATATATATTGTCTAATTCTTCAGGTTACAATCGAAAGATCCTGACGCCGTGAGCTTAGGGATGATCCACCTTCACTATCGTAAGTAGTTTATTATCATCTTGGACAGCACTGATGTATTTTTTCGTTTTAGAGGCATTGTTGACCTACACTACCACCTTGGCGTTTTATCTTCACCTCCGTTCAAGCACAAAATACGCACAAAAGCCTGATTTGCTGAAGTCACATCCGATACTCAACCGCTTGTTGACGCTTAAGCAGTCTCTGACAACACTTGAGGATCTCGACTTTGCCGTTGGCAGCGATGATGAGGATGCGTCGGACCCCAATACACCGGAGTCGGAAGAGGACGACATGCTGGATGCCGAGCAATTGTGGCGAATCGATAAGAAAAAAGGGCTTGATTCGAATGAACTCGAAGAATTGCTGAAGGACGCTATTTCTGTCGATGCAGCTGCAGATGGTTTGGTCTCCATCCCTAAGCAACCCAAGAAAAAGCGGAAGGTGTCCTCGACTTCTTCAGCTACCCTTCCCACATTCGACCTCACTGAACCCGAGTTTGCATCCTCAAAATCTAAAAACACACATCCTTCCAACAACGTTGACTTTGATCCTTATGGGGAGGCTACAACCCTTCAACATGCCGACGCCGTCGATAAGACAGCACACAAAAAGACGCTTCGATTCCACACGTCTAAGATCGAAAGCGCCAGTGCGAGAAGGCAGGGAGCACGGAATCAGGCTGTTGGGGGAGATGACGATTTACCTTACCGGGAACGGAAAAAAGAGAAGGAGGTCAGGCTGGCGAAGGAGGCGAGGGTAAAGGCCAGGGGGCAAGGGGGTGAAGATTTGAATGACGTTGAACCGGACCGCAAGCGCAGGCGAGAAGAGAGTAGCGACGGTGAGGATCCAGATAGCGCAGATGGCTACTATGAGCTGGTGAAGAAAAAGTCAAAAGAAAAGAAGGAGCACAAGAAGGCGGAATATGAAGCATTGCAGGATGCTGTCCGGTATGGTACACCATTCCGCCTTAGCGATTATTGTACTAATATAATCCTCCCGTTCTGAAGGATGGACCTGGACGTCCAAGAAAATGCAGATGGCCTCGGTCCCTCACGCGTGCGATACTGGCTAATAAGGGCCTTACCCCCCACCGTCCAAAGAGCGTTCGTAATCCTAGGGTTAAAAAACGCCAAAAATTCGAGAAGGCAAAGAAAAAGGTCTCATCCCAAAAAGCTGTCTACAAAGGCGGTCTCTCGAACACAGGGAGATATGACGGGGAGATGTCTGGTATCTCCAAGGTTGTCAAGAGTATACGCTTGGGGTGATATGCTACTGTTCGAGTTTACCCTAGCACTCTGTGAACATTTGTCATTGAATTGGCGGAAACCAGCCAGCCCCATACATACACGAGTGGTCTGTCGTCGTGAGGGCCAGAAAAAAGAAGCATCGAGCTCTGAATAATTTTGACGCTTCATGTGCAAGGATTGCTATGTTCGACGAAAAAGATATCATCGATGAGAAAATTAACCGTATGTAAACCTTTCGGAAGCCCCCGTGATATAACACTTGTTACCATTTCCCTCGCCGAAGTGCTTTCTTCGCTGCAAGAGTATTTTTCCCTCTGGCTCCTCTGATTCCTTGGAGATCTTCGAACTTCTTTTTGGCATAACGTTTTGCCTCAGCATCATCGACTAGCTCGTCAACCAAGGTCCTCTTGCGGTTAGCCCTTGTTAAATTATCTGCGCTGGCGGTTCCGAAAGGTGTGCTCGAGGGTACAATCGTACCTATCTATAGTTCGAGAGTGAGAAATCGGAAGCGCATCGTACGTGGGACTTACAGCAAAGTATTTGGGGAGTCCCTTGACACCCTTCCCCTCGCCCTCATCTTTTCGGTAAAAGCGTTTAGGATCGAGTTGGTTGCGAAGCCGAAGTGCTTCTACTTCCCGGTACAGACGGGGAAGATCCGCCTCTGCAGGAGCAGGCAGATCAAACCAATCCGGTCCCGCGGTTTTGTTTCGAAACTGAACTTACTTTCTAAGGGGATGAAGCATTTGAATACAAACTCGCACACACCTCCTTTTTCTGCTTCTTTGTTAATGGTTTTCCAGACTTTGTTAATTCAGGAGGTGGTATAGGAGGCTCTGGAAGCGCATGGGATAGTGAGGCCTTCTCTGCAAGTTCCGCATCGGGGTCCCTCATGGACTCAAGACCTTCCTTTCGAGATTTTCCAAACTTGAAGTAACTTTGTGGGAGAACACCTGGGTCCAAGAGAGGCAAAGGTCTGCCATCGGGTGTGGGAGAGGCCATAGAGAAATAGTGAATGACCTACCGCTCTACCTCATCGCTGAGAGTAATGATTTCCTCCCCGTGGTCCTGCTGGGCTTGGGGAGTGGCAGCCATCGCGTTTTGGCGGGCCTTGTCTAACAGGGACTTTAAGTACTCGGGCGTAACGCTCACATCCGAGTCAGAATCGCTATCTGTGCTCAGTTCTGAACCAGACTCAGAGGCACTCGCTGAGGATTCTGAGTCGCTGTGTGGATCTAAATCAGTTCTGCATATGAGATCAGCGGCTAAGTGTAGGTTTTTCATGCCTTGTTCCACATATTTCTGCTTTCCTTTTTCTGATATTGTCTGCGAAGACATGGGGCCGACAAGGTGAATGATCTTGAAGTATAAGCAAAATTTAATCTCATTACATAATTCAGCCACACTCAAGCTCTGCCACTTTTGGTCGCTGGTATTATTTGACTTCCTGACGCGACACTTGAAGATGCAATCCGTTTCACGCATTCTTAGGCGCCACAGACGTGCCAATCCCGTAGTTGCATCATTTATTCGATCCATTAACTCCCAGACCTCCTCGACACCAAAATCTGAAAACGAATCCCCCACTACTTCGTTTGGTTTTAAAACTGTGCCAGCTGAGGCCAAGGAGTCCCTTGTGAAGGATGTCTTTGACTCGGTAGCGTCTTCATACGATCTCATGAATGATGCAACGTCCTTTGGGGTACACCGGCTTTGGAAGGATTCATTCGTGTCTTCACTCAAGCCCGGCCGGAGAGGTCCTCAAAAATGTATTGACGTTGCGGGTGGGACTGGGGATGTTGCCCTACGGATTCTCGATCACGCGCGGGAGACATATGCTGACAGAGAGACCACAGTCGAGGTAGTGGACATCAATGGCCAGATGCTGAAGGAGGGCTTCAGGCGGTTCAAGAAGACCATGTATCACAACAGTGGGTCCCTCACCATATGCCAAGCATGTAACTCATATCATAGCAGCTCCCCAGGTCTCATTTCATGAGGCCAACGCACAGTCACTTCCTCAGGAGAAATTTGCGGATAATTCATATGACCTCTACACGATTGCCTTTGGGATTCGAAATTGTACATCTATCCCCGCGGTTTTGAGAGAGGCTCATAGGATTCTGAAACCTGGGGGAACATTTGCTTGCCTTGAGTTCAGCAAAGTCAACAACCCACTTATGAGCATGTAGGTCTGTTTACTCGCCGCCCCCCGCGAGCTCACCCAGTTTTTGTTGCAGGGTGTATGACCAGTATTCATTTTCAGTTATTCCCATTATGGGAACTATACTCGCCGGCGATCGAGACTCTTATCAATACCTCGTGGAATCTATTCGCAAATTCCCTCCCCAATCTGAATTTGCCCAGATGATTCGAGATGCTGGGTTCAAGACTGGGCCAGATATGGACGGGGGAGCATGGTCAGATATGTGGGGCGGTATTGCATCAATGCATACAGCAGTGAAGATGTAGAGTGGTTATATAGAATATTTGACTGTGGTATGCAGTAATTTGGTATGTCTGTGACCAGGGACGCTGTGACACGGCTCAAGGTAGCGTTTGGCGCTTGTGTCCGCCTTCTTCAAGTAGTACCCACTCTTTCACCATGGCCTCCATCAACGCCGCATACCCAATGCCTCCTGCGTCGGCGGACCTAGCTACAACATGGGTTTATCTAGAGGAAGGGGTGGATCATATTATGACGAAATTGCAGACGGGTGTCTCATACTCGAAGGTAATCTCA